GGGTCTAGGCCCGAAACGTCAGCCTTCCTGATCCTCTGATGCTGCTTGGCCTGCTGTGTTCATCCAGCTCTAATCTACTGTTCTTACCTGGTCTGGCCTACATGTGACTCCAGACCCACAGAAATGTAATTGTGCTGCCTTCTGAAATGGCCCAGAGAGCCAATCAGTTCAAGGGCAATGTGCAATGGATGTTTGCCTTGCCAGCGATGCCCACATCCCATGTTGGAATAAACAAAATTATACTTTTGGGTTGTAGAGGTTTTAAAGTCCTGATTGTTTGCAACTTGCCTAACATCACTACAGCTTCTGAGCTGTAGCCTTCCTATCTCCAACCAAATGCTCAGGCTTATCTGCTGTAATGTATAGGAACTGGGTGGGCAAGAAATGACAAATGTGTTTCTCTGATGTTGGCCACGCCTTGATAGTATTTGAGTGTTGACTGACATAACAACTTTTCCCAAATGCGTGTCAGACAGCTGTTGCTGAGGAGGTAACCGGCAGTCAGGACTTTAATTAATCAACCACTGGAAACTCATCAGGATGCGAGAGATAGTGCACATCCAGATTGGGCAGTGTGGTAACCAAATTGGGGCCAAGGTAAGTGGATATCAGGTTACTGTGGTGTTTGAGTTTATTTGTGAATCTTCTCCCTTGCTATCCTGAAGCTGGATGGAAATTAGCCGTGGGTGTGTGATCCTGGCTTGTGTTCCAGCTATGGCTCAATGGGGAGCACTCGCATCTCTGAGTCAACATGGTTGTCTGTTCAAATCCCAATCCAGAGACAAAGCACAATCTGGGCTAACACTCCAATGCTACATTGTCAGAGATGCTCTCTTTTAGAGTGAGAAATTAAACCAAGGCCATGGTCAATTGCTAAACGAGTCCACAGCAGTGTTTGAAGAGTGAAGACATTCACTGAGTGAAGACCCTGTCCTCAGTTGAAGACAGATTAAACCCTCATTCTCATATTGCCATGCATAGACTCATAACAACACAAACTGTGCATGAATCCCATTGATGGTTCTGAGAGATAGATTAGTATAAGTTTCTTCATAAAAAGACCATGAGACAATTAAAGTGTTTTGCAGTAAATTGTATTTTTACTCAGAGAGATTTAGTAGTTCTATTATTTGATGTTGAAAAAGCAGAGGTAAACTAATTTCAAGGTCATTATTATTATGAATATTTCTGTGTAGGATTTGAACATTAAATGACACAGCCTTTTAAAGTGTAAGTGTCCTGTGGGCTGGTTGATATGAGTAGTAGAGTGGGGTGAGCAAATAGATAAGAGCAGAAGTGGTGTGGCCTTCGAGCCTTGTTTACAGATCCCTGTTCTGCTATACCTCCCCTCAAGAGCACTGGGCCAACAAGAACTGGAGTCTGAGATGAAAATGAAAACAGCAACCAGATCCTCATCAGTAATTGGATAAATCCACTGCTTGTTCTTTACTGACTGACGGAGGGTCCAGGAGCCCTGCTCTCTGTCAACTAAATTGGCCTTTAATGGTCCTCTCTCTGTCAAATAGTCTGTTGATATTCACTGCTGAAGTCCACTCATAATAAATGGACCATTATGTGACAATGTATAAGTGGGTGTACACTTGTGTCAGCATGTGACATACATATGAGCATCCTTTTTCAAGCCAGCATCCCCAGTATCGAGGCACCGGTTACAATCGATCAGCTATGCTGGGCAGGCCACATAGTCCACAGCTCTCTACTCTGAGCTTCACCACAACCAGGAGGACATAGGAATCACTTCAAGTGTGTTCTCAAAGCCTCCCTGATAAAATGTAGTTCCTTCCACCAACCAACTCTCGGGAATCTTTAGCCCCAGACTGTCTAACTTGGAGAAACAATGTTGTGAAGGTACGTGCAAAAACCTGAACATACTTTTTAAGCACTGACCAATTGCAGGGTGATCGGATCCATCATTGGGCAGTTTAGTCAACTCGGGATCAGAGTAGAAGCCAGTCATAATAGTCAAGAGTAATCTGTATGGTCAGAGTGAGGGAGACTGCCAGAGTGAAGCTGAGACAAACTGAGTAACTGGGAGTTTGGGTCAATGTGGGAATTTGCGATAAGAGCAACAGATGTTTGAAGTAGGGTTTATTCCAAGAATTGAATGTTTGTGAGCGAGAGGTGAGCAGGAAAGAAAATAAGACATGGATCAAGGGGCGTACTGTGCTGAGAGCAACGATGGTGAGATATGAGGGGAAGAGCTGATCGGTGAGTAGATTTGGTCATTATTTCCAATGCTTAAAGTGAAATTTAGGTTTTAGGTTTGCATTTAAGTCTGTAAGCACTCCTTTTCTCTCAGAAATAGCTTCTTGAGGTTTCAGAGTAAGTCCATACTTATTCTAAGTGTAAGAAATAGATTTTAGGAAGTCTGTTGTAATCTTCAGGAAGGAAATTTATTGCAACCACAATTGGAGTGGGCAGTGTCATGACCTGTGAGGGTGGGACCTGCAGAACACACTGATATGAGTGCCTTTAAACCACATTATTCACAGACTCATGCAGTGTTACAGGACACAGACCTGCAGACCCCCTCATCCCTGGCCACCCTAATGCAATGCTTCCATTTGCTGTATACCCCTCTGTCCCAGATACCACCTCATTCACACCCAGAGGCCAGGGGAGGAATGTACGACGAGGGATAAAGGGGTCAGTGGCACTGTAAATGCCTTGTTCCTGTTGCTTCCAGGCGTCAATCCATTGGACATGGTACAAGAAGTTAGGCATCATGTTATCATCACAGTTATTTTCGGGGCTATGCAGAGATTCACACAAACAGACTTATTATAAAGACAAATTTATACAGACGTGGTACTTCATACATAATGCAGTGTCACCTGTGTCATCAAGGTGCCCTCAAAAGGTTTCTTCTTCCTCTCACCCTCCCACTCAGTCTCAGTGCACTCCCTGGTTCCACAGCTGGGGTGGACGGAGACTGCTCACCTGTTGAGCCCGTTGGCTTTCCCCAGTCAATTCTGTAGGTGTTTGTGTCTGGAAGGCCCAAACAGTGTCGAGGGGGTCTTCTTGCCAGAAGCACGTGAACCGTCCCTCAGAGTGAGATACTGAGGGTTGGAGGGACTTAGGCAGTGTAGAGGGCCCGGGCACCTGTGGAGTGTCCTGACAGGAGACTCTGAGGGACCTGACTTAGTGCCTCCAAGCACTGCCCTGTCTCCTTGTGAGGAAGGGGCACCTGGAGTGTTTGCCAAGTTCCCCATCCCCTTGTTGCATTGCCTTCGTCCTGAGGACTAATGGCTGACACAATGGAGTACAGGGATGTGCCCCTCTCCAGCAGACCCTGAGGGGCATGGTCCTGGCTCTCCATGGCAGCTGCCGACCTGCCCATGGAGGCTGCCAGACAGTTGCATGACTCACTGCATTGCTGCAGCTTCTGGGCAAAGAGGGCCATTGCTTTCCATTTGCCTGTTTGCTGCTCCTGTCCATCCCTTTGCATGTGCATGAAGTGCCTGATTGCTGACACCACAGGCTCCTCCCCTGCCTGAGCCACAGCAAGTGCCTGGTCTCTGTCTGTCCCCCAAGTGCCAGCATACTGGGCTGTTTCTTCCTCAGCCAGCTGTGGAGCTGTCACACCGAGATACAGCATTCCTCAAATCCACAAGCTCTACCTCCTAGAAGGACAAGAGCAATAGGTGATGTGGGATTCACTTCCCGCAGGTTATCATTACCATATGAGGCAATGCTTATGTTGACCTTTATAACATAAGGAACTAGGCGTGGACAAAGTGCTACGGAAGGCTCCAACAAATATCTATTATAGGGGGCTGTTATATACAATTTTGCATACACAGACACATAAGTATCTGGGCTAGTATTAGCAGAAGAGCATCCCTCAAATGATTGAAGTAAAATGGATTCTGCAATCTTTGTGCCCTTAGGTCAGATAGTGTATCATGAGCATGCCTGTTAAAAGTATCCTGATATATTGTGTCTCTTAAAGGTACACGCCAGCAGGTACTTGAGAACACCATCACCTGCACATTTCTCTCCAAGTCACACACCATGCTGACTTTGAACTAACACACTGGAATTCTCTCCCCAACAGCACCATGGGATCGCTTTACCAGACAGACTGCAATGGTTCAAGAAATCCCACCACCCATGAGGTGGTTAGAGGTAGAGAATAAATGTTAACTGACAAAACGATTGTAATAAAATTGTGAATGAGCCTGGCACTTGATTCCGGTTTCCCCAACCCATACACCTGACCCCACAAGGCCCCAGACCTGATTATCCAGGGACTTCGGCCCTTATTTATAATGTGGGCATCACTTTGCTATGTACCTGGCTGTCTTTAATAAAATTAATCGTTTTCTGTATTGATAGTTCTGGGAAGTCATTGGTGAAGAACATGGAATTGATCTCAAAGGGAATTACATTGGAGACTCGGATGTCCAACTTGAGAGGATAAACGTGTATTTCAATGAAGCACATGGTAAGACAATCCACTTACAAAACCTTTTTGTCTTTGTTTGCAGTTGTTAAATTCAGTTAGTAGTAAACTAGAAAAGTCCGTAGAGCTCTAAAACTCATAGTTTGCATTCGTCAGCCAATTTAGAACACGACATCTGACAATTAAAGAGAAAATGCAAGATTAAAGTAAACTTTCTATGCTTAAAGAGGAATCTTATTGGCCAATAATACAGTTTAAATTTCTGTAGATTTGCATAAATCTCAAATGTTGTTAATAACTGAGCTATCTACAAATGAGGAGGTTCTATCGTGCAGTCATAACATCCCTCCCTTGGGGTCAAAAGCTCTGAGTTTGAATCATTTGTTTGCTATGGAAGGTGCTTTTATAATATGGCCTAACAGATTGGTTATCAGCCTGTAAGTCCTTTTGCTATGCCTGTCACAGGCAGAAAGAGTGGGAGAGTATCCTGGACAGGAAAGCTGCAGAAGGCAATAGCAAACCACTTTGCCCATAAGCATGGACCAATCCAGTGGAAATCCATGGGCCAATCCTCAGAAATGAGGATTGTAGAAATAGCAGAGAGACCCACAAATGAGACAACAAAGCTAGGAGCAGCCCTATCGAAACCATCCCCCCACCACAAAACAATGCAGCCAGTCAGATATGTGAGTGTAATTCAAACTGAGTTACTGGCCCATGGAGCTGATCACCAGAGCTTATGAGAGGCATCTGGCAGAAGGGCTAAAAATGTTAGGGAGCAGTAGTGAGAAGGACATTTGATGCAAAGTGCAAGTGATGAGATGTTGAAAAAGTGTTGATGAAGTGTTTCATTGATAGAACGTACTGAGCAGTGAGAAACTCTGTTTCATGACATATAGTCAATGGAATATATTATCAATAGGAACAATAACCAAAGATTGCTCTATGTGTATTGATACAAACTACAATTAAGGAGAGGTTCTGTTGGTGGGGGCTTTCATCAGTGGAAGTACTCATAATGAGGACAGTGACTGTGAGAAATGTTGTCAATAAAATCGAAATTGATGAAGCAGGTGCCCAGGACGCAGATGGTCAGATAGAGATATAAAATGGACTAAGCATGTTCTAAACAAAAATACAAGAGTGGCATTTCTGACAGGCAATATTCCAACATTACATTTTTAACACAGTCAATAATAGTCCTGAGATAGTAGGAACTGCTGACGCTGGAGAATCTGAGGTAACAAGGTGCCGAGCTGGATGAACACAGCAGGCCAGGCAGCATCAGAGGAGCAGGAAAGCTTTTTTCTGAAGAAGGGTCCAGACCCGAAACGTCAGCTTTCCTGCTCCTCTGATGCTGCTTGGCCTGCTGTGTTCATCCAGCTCTATACCTTGTTATCTCAATAATAGCCCTGTACAATGTTATTTCTAAACAGCTGTTAGCCTGTTTACACTTTTTAGCTGCAGAAAAACAGAAAACAGAGCAATATAATGCAACCCCATGATGGGGATGCTGTAGAGGAGCTTCACTATCTAACGTTGTGCTGTCCATGTCCTGTGAGTGCTTGAGGAGGATAAAGTAGAGGAAGCTTTACTCTGTTTCTAACTTCATGTTGTATCTGACCTGAGAGTGTTTGATGGGGACACTGGAGAGGGAGCTTTACTCTGTATTTAAGCCTTTTCTGTCTGTGCTGTGGGAATGTTTGATGGGGGACAGTGTAGCGAGAGCTTTACTCTGTATCTAACTCCATGCTGTAACTGTGCTGGGAGTGTTTGATTGGGACAGTGTGGAGGGAGCTTTACTCTATATCTAACCCTGTGCTGTACCCGTCATAAAGTCATACAGCACGGAAACAGACCCTTCAGTCCAACCTGTCTACGTCAACCATGTTCCCAAACTAAACTAGTCCCACCTGCCTGCGCTTGGCCCATATTCCTCCAAACCTTTTCTATTCACGTACTTATCCAAATGTCTTTTAAGCATTGTAACTATACCTGCGTACACCACTTTCTCTGGCAGTTCCTTCCACACGAACCAGTAAGTGTAAAAAAGTTGTTCCTCATGTCCTTTTTAAATCTTTCTCCTCTCACCTTAAAAATATGCCGCTTTGTTGTGAACTCTCCCACCCTCGGGAAAAGACCTTTAACAATCACCTTATCTATGCCCCTCATGATGTTATAAACCTGGAAGTGTTTGAAGGGGACAGTGTAGAGAGAACTTTACTCTATATCTAACTCCGCATGTAACCCTGTACATATCCTGGAAGTGTTTGATGGCGACAATGTAGAGACAACTTTATTCAGTGTGTCATGATTGTGTAATTATAACATTATATATAACAATAGAAAGCCTATCTGACCTTTTCAAATGAACACAGCTACTTATAAGATAGCTCCCAGTAGTGACATGACTCACTGTTGACTCCCTATTGCCAGAGTAGCTGACAGGCTGATGAATTATTATAAAATCATGAGGGGCATGGATCAGGTGAATAGTCAAGATCCTTTCCCCAATGTAGGGGGCTCAAAACTAGAGGGCATGGGTTTAAGGTGAGACGGGAAAGATTTAAAAGGGACATAAAGAGGCAATTTCTTCACACAGGGGGTGGTGTTGCTTGGAATGAGCTACTGGAAGAAGGGCTAGAAGTGAGAACAATTACAGCATTTAAAAGATAGATGGATAGGAAAGGTTCAGAGAGGATATGGGCCAAACTCAGGTAAATTGGACTAGTTCAGTTTAGCAAAGCTGGTTGGCATGGATATGTTGGGCCGAATGGTCTGTTTCCATGCTGTATGACTCTACTGAGCCCCCTAAAACAATTTGACTGGAAAAGCCATTACAGCTGCTACAAGCACAGAAGGAAATATTTAGAATTCAGTTAACCTCTGGATTAACACTATGTGTCCATTGAAGAGTATGTGAATTTGAAGCTTCTGGGAGATAAAAACGAGACTGGAAGAACACCGTCGAGAAATGCAGCATAATCGACTCTGATCTGTGAATCAATGTTTCATCAAATGTACAGGTTATCAAGAATGAAAGATTTCTGAGATAATTAAAATAATTTCTGTTAAATCATCACAGCTGGAACTAATCCAAAATAAAATTGATACTATGTTTGCAAGAAAGGGTGATAGATATAGGACAGATGTCAGAGGTAGGTTCTTTACTCAGAGAGTAGTAAGGGCGTGGAATGCCTTGCCTGCAACAGTAGTAGACTCGCCAACATTAAGGGCATTTAAATGGTCATTGGATAAACATATGGATGATAATGGAATAGTGTAGGTTAGGTGGGCTTCAGATTGGTTTCACAGGTCGGCGCAACATCGAGGTACTGCGCTATAGTGTTCTATGTTAACACGGCAGCCATTCAAAGTAAAAGTCTCTGTGAGACGATATTTTAAAGCAGAACTCAATGGATTCTGAGAAAACATCCTCAAAGTTCTCAGCTGAAAAGAGCTGAAGGAAAAGGACTTCTGGAAATCATTTATAGTTCTGTTGCAGGAGTCCAAGCATTCTGCATGTATTTCAACTGGACAACAAGTGAGGAGAAGAAACCTCTCTCCCATTTCAAAGCTTCCTCTGTCTACATGGCTTTGTGCTCAGGAAATCATGTCTCACAAACTTAACAAAGGTTTTTTGAAGAGGTGACCAAGAAGACAGATGAAGGTAGAGTGGTAGACATTGTCTGCATGAACTTTAGCAAGGCCTTTGACAAGGTTCCACAATTTAGACCGGTTACTAAATTAGATCACATGGAATCCAGGAGAGCTAGTCAACTGGATACAAAATTGGCTTAACGGTAGGAGACAGAGGGTGTGTTAGGGGGTTGTTGGTCAGGCTGGAAGCCTGTGACCAGAGGTGTGTTGCAAGGATCGGTATTGGGTCCATTGTTGTTTGTCATTTATATAAATGATTTGGATGAGAATATAGGAGGCATGGTTAGTATGTTTGTGGCTGACGCCAAAATTGGTGGTATAGTGGACCGTAAAGAAAGTTATCCAAGAGCACAACAGGATCTTAATCAACTGGGCTAGTGAACTGAGGAATGGCAGAGTTTAATTTAGATAAATGCGAGGTGTTGCATTTGATACAATAAACCAGGGCAGGACTTGCGCAGTTAATGATAGGGCCTTGGTGAGTGTTGTCGAATAGAAAGTCCTTGAAAGTGGCGTTTCAGATAGACAGGGTGGTAAAGAAGGCATTTGGCATGTTTCCCTTCATCAGTCAGAATATTGAGAACTGGAGCTGGGATGTCATAGTAAGGCGACATTTGGAATACTGCATACAATTCTCCACTCTCTGCTATAGGAAGGATGTGATTAAACAGGAAAGGATGCAAAAACAGATTTACAAGGATGTTACCAAGACTGGATTTAAGTTATAAAGACAGGCTAGATAGGCTGGGACTTCTTTCCCTGCAGCTTTGGAGGCTAAGGGATGACCTTACAGAGGTTTATAAAATCATGACGGTCTTGGATAACGTGAATAGCCAACATCTTTTCCCCAGGGTAGGGGGAGTCCAAAATGAGAGGGCATAGGTTTAAGGTGAGAGGGGAAAAGTTTAAAAGGCAGATGGTGATGCATATATGGAACAAGTTGCCAGAAGAAGTGGTAGAGCTGAGTACAATTACAACATTTAAAAGACTTTTGAACAGGTATGTGGATAGGAAAGGTTTAGAGGGATGTGGGCAGAATGCAGACAATGGGACTAGTTCAGTTTAGGATGGGTTGGGTTGGAGGGTCTGTTTCTGTGCTTTTTACTCGATGATTCTACTCAGTACCTCTAAATCTATTTGACTGTGGAAGCCATCACAGCTGCTGAATCTGACTTCACATTTTCAAACTCCTCACCTCAGAAAGTTCAAGCACGTAAAAGGCTTGCAATTATATCAGACTGATTTTGTTCTAATTTTTGTTAATATTCTCCACGTGTATCTATTTTTAATCTTTGTATCTGCATTTTATCTAATAACTTATCATTTTCTTAATTAGCAATAGTTTTGTAGTAAACCAACCTTTGATCTTGTTTAAGACTATGGTTTTGCTGCTGCTTCTTTATACTTTAGAACCAATACAAACTTAGAACAGGGTTAAGTGAGCTACATAAATTAGCGTTTCGCAGATCACTTTGAAAACATGCCTGGTGTGGTCATGACAGCGTATCTAACCCAAGCTGTGCCTGCCTTAGGTATAGCTACAAGAAATGCCTGAAATAGATGTATTAAGTTCTACAGCACGAATGTCACTCTTCTTGAGAGACTTCAAAAAAACAATTTAGCATTTTACTGTTTCACTAAATCAGATCTTCTTTTCTTCAGGTAACAAATATGTACCCAGAGCAATCTTGGTGGACCTGGAGCCAGGAACAATGGACAGTATCCGAGGCAGCCATATTGGTCACATGTTCAGACCAGACAACTTCATTTATGGTACGGTGTGATCTTATAAAGGACAAATTAAAAGGAAGGTTGTAACCAATGGACAAAAACAAAGTTGCTGGAAAAGCTCAGCAGGTCTGGCAGCATCTGTGAAGGAGAAGACAGAGTTAACGTTTCGGGTCCGGTGACCCTTCCTCAGAACTGATGGTGACTGGGAAAATGTCAGTTTATATGCAGAAAATAGGGAGGTGGGTGGGGTAGGGAGTAAACGATAGGATAGAGCCCAAAGAGAGAGAAAGACAGTTGGACAGACAAAGGAGTTGCTAATGATCAGGCTGGGAGGGTGAGTAGTTGTTAATGGGGACTGTTAGTGACTAACAACAGTGGGTGTGTAATGGCAGTCTATGTGGTAACAAGGCCTGGTGTGTGGGGTAGAGGGCTGGGACATGGGAGAGTTTAGGCTCTAAAATTATTGAACTCAATATTGAGTCCGGAGGGCTGTAGGGTCCCCAAGCGGAAAATGAGGTGTTGTTCCTCCAGCTTGCATTGGGCTTCACTGGAACGCTGTAGCAAGCCAGAGACAGAGATGTTAGCCAGGGAGCAAGGTGGTGCATTGAAGTGGCAAGCAAGAGGTAGTTCAGGGTCTTTTTTGCGAGCAGAATGTAGATGTCTCTGACTCCTCCCTTCCCTTCCTTGACATTTCTGTTTCCATTTCTGGGCATAGACTGGCCACTAATATCCATTACAAATCCACTGACTCCCACAGCTACCTGGACTATACATCTTCACACCCCACTTCCTGTAAAGACACCATCCCATTCTCTCAGTTCCTCCATCTCTGTCGCATATGTTCAGATGAGGCCAACTACAGCCCTCCGGAGTCAATATTGAGTTCAGTAATTTTAGGGCCTAAACTCTCCCATGTCCCAGACCCCTACCCCACACACCAGGCCTTGTTACCACATAGTCTACCACTACACACCCGCTGTTGTTAGTCACTAACAGTCCCCATTAACAACTACTCACCCTCCCAGCCTGATCGTTAGCATCTCCTTTGTCTGTCCAACTGTTTTTCTGTCTCTTTGGGCTCTATCCTATTGTTTACTCCCTACTCCACCCACCTCCCTACTTTCTGCACATAAACTGACGTTTTCCCAGTCACCATCAGTTCTGAGGAAGGATCACTGGACCCGAAACATTAACTCTGTTTTCTCCTTCACAGATGCTGCCAGACCTGCTGAACTTTTCCAGCAACTTTGTTTTTGTTCTTGATTTACAGCATCCGCAGTTCTTTTGGTTTTTGTTTTGTAACCAATGGACTTCGTCCTCACCATGAAGTCTCATCTCAGATGACAGCAGAGAATATGGGTACAGTGTGTCAGACTCTTGTGTAATGGAAAATAAAACCGAAAGAACTGCAGATGCTGTAAATCAGAAACAAAAACAGAAATTACTGAAAAAGCTCAGCAGGTCTGGCAGCATCTGTGGATAGAAATCAGAGTTAACATTTCAGGTTAACGTTAACTGAGTTCTGAGGAAGAGTTACTTGACTCGAAACGTTAACTCTGCTTTCTCTCCACTGATGCTGCCAGACCTGTTGAGCTTTTCCAGCAATTTCTGTTTTTGTTTCTTCTGTAATGGACACTGGCATCATTGTATTACAAAGTGGGCACTGCAAGTCTTATCCAGTGGAAACTGTATCCAGCAGGGCACTGGGTGTTAGACTCTAACTATTTGCATTGGACAAAATCAAAAGTCACATGACACCAGGTTATAGACCAACATGTTTGTTTAAAATCACAAGCTTTCAGAGCACTGCTCCTTCAGGTGAACCGCTGTGAAAGCTTGTGATTTTAAATGACTATGACTTGGTGATGTGTGAATTTTGATTTTGTCAATCCCAGTCCAACAGCAGCATTTCCACATCATAGTTGCATTGGATGTCAAAGTAGTACCATTGGTCACTGGGTGTCAGAATTGATTTGGACAATCCTTGAGGAATTCCGAGCACAATTCATTGCCATATGTCTTTTTCTTAAGTTTAAAGAAAGACTATCCTAATTGTCTCTTTCTTTCTCCAAAACAACCGGCTCCCACCTGGCTGCAGGTAATTCAGGTGCTGGAAACAACTGGGCTAAAGGTCACTACACTGAGGGCGCTGAGCTGGTGGAGAACGTCCTGGATGTAGTGAGGAATGAGTGTGAGAGCTGTGACTGTTTACAAGGCTTTCAGATCACCCACTCGCTGGGAGGAGGAACAGGTTCAGGCATGGGCACGCTCATCATGAACAAAATCCGAGAGGAATACCCCGACAGAATTATGAACAGCTTCAGCATCGTCCCTTCGCCAAAGGTCTCAGACACGGTGGTTGAACCATACAATGCCACCTTATCCATTCACCAGCTGATCGAGAACACAGACTCCACCTTCTGCATCGACAACGAGGCTTTGTACGACATTTGCTTTCGAACCTTGAAGTTGGCCACACCAACCTACGGAGACCTGAACCATCTGGTTTCGATGACAATGAGTGGTGTCACCACCTCCCTGCGTTTCCCTGGTCAACTCAACGCAGACCTGAGGAAGCTGGCGGTCAACATGGTGCCATTTCCCCGCCTGCATTTCTTCATGCCCGGCTTTGCCCCTCTGACGTCCCGTGGCAGTCAGCAGTACCGCTCGCTGACAGTGCCAGAGCTCACCCAGCAGATGTTCGACCCCAGGAACATGATGGCGGCCTGTGACCCTCGCCATGGCAAATACATGACGGTGGCAACAATCTTCAGAGGCAGGATGTCCACCAAAGAGGTGGATGAACAGATGTTAGCCATCCAGGCCAAGAACAGCACCTACTTCGTGGAGTGGATTCCCAACAACGTCAAGGTGGCTGTGTGCGACATTCCACCACGGGGCCTCAAAATGTCATCCACCTTCATAGGGAACAACACTGCAATCCAGGAGCTCTTCAAGCGCATCTCAGAGCAGTTTTCAGTCATGTTCCAAAGGAAAGCCTTTCTGCACTGGTACACAGGAGAGGGCATGGATGAGATGGAGTTCACAGAAGCAGAATGTAATACCAATGATTTGGTATCCGAATACCAACAATACCAAGACGCTACTGCAGACCTTGAAGTAGAAGAGTATGAAACGGAAGAGAAAGAGGCTGAACTGACCAAATAATTAACAGAGAGGACAATTTAAAGAGACTACACGATTGGACCAACAAAGGATTTGATCTTAGGAGCAACGTAACTGTGAAACTAACATTCAAACAACAAAAAGATCACCTAGTGATCTCCAGCTGAACATCGGCCTTATTGAAATTGGACACACCAGAGAAGAATCTCAGTGGATAGGAAATTTGTGTTTGAATTCTTAAAACTGGAAACCCTTCAGACTTCAGTTTCAAGATTTTGGCCAACATTTCTTGTCTATCGTTAAGAGCTGAATTTGGTTGCGATATTTGGAGGGTTGGACATTTGGATCATCCCATTCAGCAAGGACAAAAAAAGTATTTAACTCATTGAGCAAGTATTGATTATGTGATTGGGTCTCAGGATATTTTGTAAATACAGTTGAAGGGTTGGGGGCACGGGTTTGTAATTGTCAATGTTGTGAATTATTTTAATCAACTGCCAATGTGAAACAGATATATTTCACATTTCCAATGGCAAGACGTAGTCAAAACATTACATAGCAGACTGGAGAATGAAACAGTGCAGCATTTATCAATTAATCAGGTTCAGAAAAAAGATTTCTTCTTCATTAAGCAAATGAAATAAGGCAAATTGAAAACAGAAAATTATTTCATTAATTATAGCAATGCTCATTTTTAAAAAAAATTGACTATATCAATCGACCACCAACATCCTGGGTGTTACCATTGACCAGAAACTTAATTGGACCAGTTATATAAATTCAATGGCTAAAAAAGGGCAGAGGCTAGGAATTCTGTAGTGAGTAACTTACTTCCTGACTCCCCAAGACCTGTCCACTGTCTACAAGTCACAATGATGTGGAGGTGCCGTGTTTTCAAATGAACCTGTTGGTCTATAACCCGGTGTCATGTGGTTTTTGTACAAGGCACAAGTCAGGAGTGCGATGGAATACTCCCCAATTGCTTGGATAAGTGCAGCTCCAACAACATTCAAGAAGCTTGACACCATCCAGGACAAAGCAGCCCGCCTTATCAGCATCCCATCCATCACATGGAACATTCCATCCCTCTACCACCGATGCTCAGTAGCAGCAATGCGTACCATTTTCAAGATGCACTGCAGCAATTCGCCATGGCTCTTAGTACAGTCGTTTGCAAACCTGTGACCTTTACCATCTAGAAGGACAAAGGCAGCAGAGTCAGAAATCACACAACACCAGGTTATAGTCCAACAGGTTTATTTGAAAACACGAACATTCAGAGTCTTACTCCTTCTTCAGGTGTCAGTGAGAGAGGTAGTGTCAGACACAGCATTCATGAGTAAAAGATCAAAGGGTCACACCATTGATGAGGATGTACTAAACAAACCTAAGATGCTGTTAAATCTTTAATCAGTTAGAAAGTTTTAATTGATTAATATGTATATGTTAATCCCCAAATTCCTTTCAAGTCACTGCCCTGAGAGAACAAAGGTTTTATCAGTGTAAAGAAGTGTTAGGTCAGACAATGCATGTTAGGTGTGAGGCCTTGTTTAGAACCTGTTTGTGTTTTGGTTTGGAGTCAGACTAGTTTTACTTCTAAAGCAGGAACAGCCTCGATCAGGCACTGCTCGCATTTGGTCAAGCAACAATCCCCTGCCCTCCCACTTGGCAAATCACCTGTACAGGTTGACCAGCTGGGCACACTGCATGGCAACAGACCACAAGCAAATCAGTATATTCCTTTGGCAGTGGACTTTAAGTGGTGGCGGGGATAATGTTGACAATGGACTTTGCCACCCTGAACATGATTCTGATAGAAATGGGAAGGTGACAAGGTTTGGGTATGCCACCGTTCTGCCTCATTAGTTATCCTTCCCACCTCCAGAAGCTTTTGTCCTTACAAATATCCAGACTGAGACATCTGTGGCAGCTACAGTTGTGGAGACATGAGATGGAATAACTTCTTAGGTTGCAGAATTCTTGAAAGACCTCTGGAATTTGGTTGTTGACGTTTCGAATTGGTGAATCTGACAAAACGCACATGCCCAAATTTCCAAACCACCATTCCCTGCCCCTGCCTAGTCCATAAAGTTCTGAATTCTAATCAATGCACTTATTTTAGCACAGAAAACAATGTAAATGTTAACATTTTCTATTTACTGGGGAGAGCTTGTGGCTAGATTAGACAGGTTTACTTAGTGAACCATATTGAAGGGGAATAGTTTGTTATAAAATTATAATACCCCCAACACGACCATGTGGTATAGTTGAGCCAATAGCATCGATACCTTTAAGAAGAAGCTAACCAGAGAGAAAGGGGTTGAAGGCTATGCTGTCAGACTGAGGTAAAATAGGTGGCAGGAGGCCACCTGTGTAGCATTAACCCCAGCCTAGACCAGTTGGGCTGAATAGTGTGTTTCTGTGCTGAAAATTCTGTTATATGCAACTGAACAATTACGTGATGTTTAAATCATTACTTTTGCAAATTGCTGAGTGTTAATGTGGGATTGTGTGTAGCTTCTCATTATGTGACTGCTTATGACCTATGTTATTTACATAAAGCCTGTTTAAACTATCAATAGATATTTAGTAACTTCAATTCTTTCTGTATAATCAAAGCTGACAAAAGTTTTAACCTTGCCTGCACAGCCACTTAAGGCTCATTTGAATAAAAGTCCTGCTCTTAATAAGTGTTTTGTAGTTATGGATGTCGGCTCCATGTGATGGTTTCTAATAGCATTGCCATGTACTGATTGTGTCAGGTACAGGGTAAACCTCAACACCAAACATATCTTTTATTGGCAACTGTTTAGCACAAGAGCACCGCCAAATATGACATGCTGCCTCAGTACATCAGAGTCAGTAACCATTCTTACATCAATTATTGCAGTAAAAGTAAAATACTACAGGTGCTAGAAATCTGAAACAAACTCAGGGAATGCTGGAGAAACTCAACAGGTCTGACAGCATTTGTGGAGAGAGAGACAGAAAAAAACAGATTTAATGTTTTGACATTCTTTTGGCATTTGTGTGGCATGAATGTTACTTGCCCCCCAATCAGTCCAAGCTCAAATGTTGTCCAGGTCTTGCAAAATATAGACACAGACTGTTTCAGTATCCATGGAGTTGCGAATGACATTGAACATTGTGCAATCATCAGTGAATATCCCCCAGTCTGACCTTATGATGGAGGGAAAGTCATTGATGAAGTAGCTGAAGATGGTTGGGCCTAGGACACCACCCTAGGAACTCCTGCAGAGATGTCCTGGTGCTGAGACGACTGATCTCCAAGAACCACAACCATCTTCCTATGTTACAGGTATGACTCCAACCAGTAGAAAATTTGCCCCCTTATCTTAATTACTCCAGTTTTACTAACGCTTCTAAATGTCATACTCTTGTCAAATACTGCTTTGATGTCACTCTCACCGCACCTCTAGATTTCAGCTCTTTTGTCCATGTTTGAACCAAGGCTGTAATGAGGTCAGGAGCTCAGTGGCCCTGGCGGAACCCAAACTGGGCGTCACTGAGCAGGTAATTGCTGAGCAGGTGCTGCTTGAAAGCACTGTTACTGACACCTTCCATCACTTTACTGATGATTGAGAGTAGACTGATGGGGCGGCAATTGGCTTGGTTAGATTTGGTCTGTTTTTTGTGTCCAGAATATAGCTGGGCAATTTTCCACATTGTCAGGTAGATGTCAGTGTTGTAACTGTACTGGAACAGCTTGGTCAGGAGAGTGGCAAGTCCTGGAGCACAAGTCTTCAGTACTATTGCCAGAATGCTATGAGGGCACAGTATCCAATGCATCCAACCGTTTATTGATATCACATGGAGTGAATCAAATTGATTGAAGTCTGACATCTGTCATGCTGGGAGCTACTGGAGAAGGCAGAGATGGATCAGCCACTCGACACTTCTGGTGGAACAGTGGTGTGAATGCTTCAGCCTTAATTATTTTTGGATTGATGTGCTGGGATACCCCAACCCCAATTGAGGATGGAAATATTTGTGGAACTCCTCCTCCTCCAGTGAGTGGTTCAATTGTCCACCACCATTCTGATGAGCATAGACCATGCTGTAGCTTTGCCAGTTTGACACTGCATTTTAGGTAAGCTTGATGCTGATCCTGTTACTCCAGCTGTGGCCTAACTGACGTTATATACGGTTCCATCATAACTGCTTTGCTTTTGGATTCAATGCCTTGACTAATAATGTTAAATATCCCATTTGCCTTCTTAATCGATCTACCTACCTGTCCAGGTGACTTCACACCCTCTGATCCTCTGTACTTCACAGTATCCTACTGCTCAACTTGTACTCTCTTGCCCTCATAACCCTTTCAAAATGCTAAACCTCTTCAGTTTTCAGGATTAAATTTCATTTTCCCCTGTTCAGCCCACCTATACCATTGCTGTAGACTAAGGCTTTCCTCCTCACGATTTACATCACTTTTTATGCATCTCTGAACTTATTGATCATATTTCCCATATTAATGTCTAGATCATTAACGTACACCCCAAACAGTGAGGGACCCAGTACCAAACCCTATGGTATACCACTGGACACAAGCTACCAGTCAGAGAACACACTTTGACCATCACCCTCTCCTTCCTGCCCCTGAGATAATTTTGGATGAAATTTGTCCTGGATCCCATGTGCGTTTAGCTTCTTAACCAGACCTTACTGAAATCCATGTAGAATACATCCACCGCACCATCTGCACTCACACAAAAGTCATCTCCTCAAAAGATTCAAAGTTTGTGACACAATTTCTCTGACAAAGCTATGGGGACTATCCGTAATTAATCTTTGCCTACAGAACCTTAGAAATGATACAGCACAGAGGGGGTGCCATTCAGTCTGTCTTGCCTATGCCGACCGAAAGATGCCAATCCTCATCTTCCTGCACGCTGTCCATAACCCTGCAGGTTACAGCATTTCAAGTGTAGATCCAGGTATAACACAATAGTTACATTCTTGTGACCTTGTGCTATAGAAAATCGCATTATAGAGAAATCGCTAATTTGTACAGTTGAATGTTTGCATTATCCAAACAGCGTCCACTATTCATCAGTCGCGTTACAGCCAATTCGCATTAATGAAACACGTGTTATAACAGAAATACCTGTACTTTTTGAACCAGTTTCAGGTCTCTGCCTCCACCACCAACTTAGTGTGAATTCCAGATACTCTCTACCTTCCTCACGACAAAGTTTTTTCACATCCCTCTAATCCTTCTGCCACTTAGCTTGAATCTATGACCCCTGGATTTTGAACTCTCTGCAAGGGAAATAAGTTCCTCCTGTCCACCCCTCACAATTTTGTATACCTCAATCATGTCACCCCTCAGCCTTCTCTGCTAAGGAAAACAATCCCAACCTCTGCTTATAGCTGTAATTCTCCAGCCTAGGCAACATTCTAGTAAATGTTCTCTGCACTCTCCAGAACAATTATGTCCTTTCTATAATGTGGTGACCAGAACTGCATACAATACTCCAATTTTGGCCTCACCAGTGTCTTACACAATTTCATTATTATATCCACACTTTTGTATTCTATACCTAAACCAATGAAGGAGAGAATTCCAGATGCCTTCTTTACAGCCTTATCTAATGTACCGCTACCTTCAGGGACCTATGGACTTGTATGTCTCCCATTTCATCTACCCCTCTCAGTATATTCCTATTTATTGTGTACACCCTTTTACTGTTTGACCTCCCTAAGCGCATTACCTCACACTTAGGGTTGAATAATATCTGACACTTTCCTATCCACTCCACCAACCCATCCATGTCATTTTGGAGCTTACAGCTATCCTTTATGTGGCCAATTTTTACATCATCTGCAAATTTCCCAATTATGCCCCCCACATTCAAGTCCACATATAAAGCAAACAGCACAGGTCCCAACACAGTCTCCTGTGCAACACCACTTGAAACAGCTTGGCATTTACATCAACCATTACCCTTAATTTCCTGTTACTAAGCCAACTTTGGATCCAAATTGTCATATTACCCTGGATCCCATGGGCTTTTGGTTTCTTGACCAGTCTGCCACATGGGACCTTGTGGAAACGCCTTACTAAAATCCATGTAGACATCCTCCACACTAACATCATCGATCCTCCTTGTCACTTTCTCAATCAAATATGTAAGGCATGACTTTCCCTTAAAGCTATGCTGACTAGTCCATGCTTTTCTAAGTGACAGCTTATTGGATCTCTTAGGATTGATTTTTACAGTTTTCAAGAAAATATGTAGCTCAGGTTGCAGATGAGGTTATAGATATGCTTGCTGAGCTGGTGGATTTGGTTGCAAACATTTTATCACCCTGCTAGGTAACATCGTCAGTGCGCCTCCAGCTCCAGCAGTGAAGCGTTGGTGTTCTATCCCACTTGTTATTTATATGCTTCGGTTTGCTGGGGTGGTTGGTATTACTTCCGGTTCAGTTTCTCAGTGGTTTGTAAACAGGGTCTAATTCAATGAATCTGTTGATGGAGTTCCGGTTGGAATACCAGGCCTCCGGGAATTTCCTGGCAGGTCTCTGGCTTGTGCGATTATGGATGTGTTGTCCCAGTCAAATTTGTGTCCCTCATTGTCTGTCTAGTGAGACAAGTGAGAATTGGTGATTGATTCTTACAATTTGTCCACCACCAAAGTAAGGCTAATTGTTCAGCATATCCTTTGAGAACATTTTAAACAGCAGGACATTAGCATTCCTCTAGTCCTCTGACACCTCACCTGTGTGTAGTGAAGCTCTGAGGATAATTTTCAATCATCTGCTATTTCCTCCTTGAACCTGGAAGGATCGATCTGGTGACTTATCCATTTCCAACAATTCCAACTCCTCTAACACTTCCTCTCGTTATGATTTTGTCTAATATTTCTCACTGCTCCTCTTGGATCACTATATCACATAATCCTTTTGTGAATAAAGACAAAAAAATTCATTTAAAATTCTTCCCATATCCCCTGCATTTTCTGACCATTTCCCTTCATCTCAAATAGGTCCCACCTTTTTCTTAATTATCCTTCTGCTGTTTATAGACTGGCAAAAGATCTTTAGGTTTTTGTTTAAATTGCTTTTTCATGTCCTCTTTTGGATTTCCTTATTTATTTTTAGAAATCCTTTCCAAGTGGTGAAAAGTCAAAAAATGTTCCCACAGATTCTCTCCCACACATGTTACTCATTTGCCTATAATCTCCTGGCTTCCCACTAGTTTAACCTATTGGTCTACATTCTTGTTAGTTCATTACTTTATGATTACCATATGTCTAAGTTTTAATTCCAGATTTATTCAAATGTCATTATCTGCTGTGGTGGGATTGAACCTGTGCTCCTACAGCAATAGCCTCGTCTTCTGGATTACCAACCTGAGACAGTAATAGAGGCTGTGTTGGGCAGGTTTTGGATCTACAAGGGAGTTCAGTTTTATGGTACGCAAGAACGAGGAGTTAGTGCCAAGATCACTGGAAGGTTTGAATGGCCTACTCCTCATGTTATTATAACCCTGTCCTATTCAGACTCCCATAAAGTTGCAATACAAAATATCAAACTGAGGCTCTACAGTCAATAAGTTGACAGTTGGATGCACAGTAAAGCACTGAACAAATCACTGGTACAGGGACAGTGATTAACAATAAGCAATGGACTATCATTGTCTTCTTGTGTCTACTTTAATTGC